GGCCGACTCTCTACCGGCGCGGCTACGGCGCCACAGTGTGAGTGGCCGAGCGACCTAGGCTAAAGGCACGAGTCGGCGCTGTAGATTGAGCGGGAGAAGAACCGGTCCCATCACGACACCCTCTCACCTGGGGCTTCGAGACCGACCTCGTGGCTCTTTGATAACGCTGCGAAATTTGAACTCTGAGTCGGGGGTTCTAATACTCGACGCGCCGTCAAATTATTCGTTTTTATGTTTGAATTTTTACGCATTGTACGAAAAGCTCGACCAGTCGGCAACCCGCGCTGGGGTTCGAGATCCCACCTGGGACCCGGCCGGCCCGCCTTTTTTCTCTCTCTTTCTTTCCCACGCCGCGTCGTCAGCCTGTGTTCTAGTCGGGGAGCCACGAGTGCGGTTTCTCAGCCGAGTGCGTGAAGGTGTCGCGGCGGGGACTCCAGGGTCATGCGTTCAAGCCCTGCCGCCGGCGCTTTTTTTTTGTTGGGTGAGCAAAAGAGGAAGAAATCGCTTGACCCGGCTACCGGTGGGACTCGAACTCGAACCCCCGTGAGTTTGAGTTGGATGGAAACTTTTTCTGCTGGTAGCATTCAAACCGGGCGACCACTGTGCCAGCTGAGGTTGCTCAATTGTGACCAGTCTGAAACTGTCTGGGGTTCGACTCCCGGCCAGCCCATAGTAGTTTATTATCCTGATCATTTCACTATTGTCACTTGGCACTTCCCTGGCGTTGCCGCCTGGAGCCACACAACGATGCGCGGGACGGGAAGCATCCCCAAAGGATCACATCCTGGACAAGCGAGGCGGGATTGCCTACCCCAGGAAAGAATCACATCCCGTGGCCACGATATGTCGGTGAGTATGTCGTAATTATTGTTCTCCCCCTTTGCCGTGCCGCGTCCCCTACCCCTCTCCTCCTGCCCACCCCCACCGCGCATTTCCCGCGCCTTTATGGAAACGTAAACAAACAGTCAAAGTCGGTGTCACGATCAGCGTTTCTGCCAAATACCGATAATACCTTCTCATATAATTATTGATCATAGGATTTTAACTAGATTTTAGAGTGGAGATCGCCGCTTTTCATTATTAATCGCAAGGTATAGTGCTCACTTATTTCCGGTCCGGAATATTGAATTGTTCCATTCCGGTTAGTGTTGTAGGAGGTTATGCTCCTGTGGCCCAATTTTTACACGCACAATTAAGTTGTAAGTTAGTTTTTGAGGCCGAGTAAATGATGCCCGTGATGTAAATAACTTGGCTCACTGCTGTCAGCTTTGTTGAAAAGGTGTTGAATGGGTAGACTCCTCCAATCCATGCAGTATATGTTAAATACTGTTGTAGGTCCTTATGCAAATGGGTGAACCTGCCAGTGTTTTATCACATATCATATATTTTACTCTATTTTATTCTCGTGGAACAGAAAACTTTATTACTTTCTGATTGGGGTGCTAACCGAGTGGTACTATTTGCGTAATCCCCCAAACAAACAATCAATCATTGTGCGTTGCAGATTATTTGTAGCTGCCCCTTCGTACTTAATGATTAGTGCAGTGCCAAAATTAGTTATTTGAAAGACCATGGTCATTTAGAGACGCATGGGGGGAGAGGCATTTAAAAGTGCATTGTATGAGTAAATTA